GCGAGCCGTGCGAGAGGTCAGAGCTGGGTCTGCGTGCAGCTTAGTACCTGCCGCTTCTGTCCGTCGTTGTGAGCGTTGCTTTGAGATTCTATTTGGGAGCATTTTTGTTTTGCACAAGGTGACGCGCAATTGGCAGTGTGTGTGCAACTCTGAGGCTCGAATGGGACATGTTAAAATATTTCCAGGCAACATGTAAAATTCAAACCACATTGATGACACGTAAGCGCTTTAGATCTCACCGCTAACAAAGGGTCTTGCCTCTTTCAGCAGTAAGTCATAGGTACAGACTGATATTACTTCACAGTAGAGCAGCGAACTTTTCTAGCCAAGGAAAGGGCAAGACGGCCCGTTACTCTCATGCTGCAAAAGTGGTCTTAACAAGGCTTTTTAAATAACAAAAAATCAATGCTTGGAATATCCATCAGGACTAGCACTGCTGTCATTTCTACCTCAGAAAAAAACATGGGATATGAAAAAGAATGCTGATATACTGTAAATTGCTGATATTGAGTTGAAAATATAAAGTGGGTTGAAGCTGGTAAGATAACAAGCAATGTAGGTGCGTACACTAGCGCACAGCTAAAACTGTTTTTTTATTTTGACGTGTTTGCTGTGTTCTTTGATAGCCAGATTATCACCTCTGTATTTGATCAACATAAGCAAATGATGGACGTCAGGGGCGATATGGCGCTAAGCACTGCAGCCTCATGGTTATGTCTGCGATGCCGCCTGTCTGGAGTTACATGGATGTCTGTTTTCCTGGGTTTTCTCAGGGTTTGTTTGGGTTTCTTCACCCAACCCGATGACATGTTGTCCGGGTTAATTGACATCTCTAAATGCTCCCCTTTTGTGTTTGTACCCTGTTGTGGAGTGGCATCCTGTCCCAGTTGTATCTTGTCGTGTGCCCTGTGATTGCCAAGTCAGGCTTCGGCTCACTACACGACAACTCTTCAAGAGTCAGTTGTTTACTTAAAATAGGTGGGTGGAATAATCACACAACAAGGGTTGAGTCAGAATGCTATCTGCAGAACATATCTCCATCTTCAGGATCGATTCAGAAGGATATTCTTGTAGGAATTTGCCCCGCTGGCAGAAGAAATGCTCGTCTGAATCCAGTTCCAATAACGCTGATAATCACACAAGGCAAGGTAATGCTGTCAGAGTTGTTAAAATGTTCCTCATTCGATTATTAATAGGGCAATTTGAATTGCTCTGTAAAACCGAGACTAATGAGTGTGATGAGTGCATTATCGTGGCATTAGAAAGGTCAATCTTATTTTGCTTTTTGAGCACCAACCAAGATAACGGGATCTATCTTTATGCGAGATAGACTTGGGTCTCTGCTGGAACATGTTAAAATTTATAGACTTACAAGCAAATGTTTTTGTGTAATTTTACTCTGTAAAAATACTAGTTATGGACGACTGCTGCTGGTGTGGAGTTGCAGAAACCATTTTTAGGGTTCTGGAGGTATTTTGTCGTATTTTCTTTTATAGATGAAAAGGTTTTGTCTCATTAAATCTGAAATTGAATTAATCTTCAAATTCTGCTGTTTTGTATCCGTTTTTGGGAACAGTGTTTTCAACCCTTTATTGTGTAGATGAATGAAACAATAAGTCACTATCAATGGAAATGTGTGGAAAAATAGAAAAAACTGTAGCAGAAATTACTATGGGGTCTTAATTACAAAGATGTGAGCTGTTGAGCTTTGCTGAAAGACTAGAATGGTGCGAGTATTACTTTGTGGAATAATGTCTGGGATTAAGATATTATTAGAAACAAGCTAAGGTTCACTGCATTATTGTCCTTAGTACTTAAAGAATGGGTGACATTTTCTGGGCATTGTCCAGTGACACTTGGGGTGGTTCCGAAAACAGACAAGCTTAACATGCCAGATGGCTAAGACTGGCTTTATGAGAATACTGTTGCTAAATACAAACCTTTTTACTTCACGGACTTTGTGGCCTCTGGCATGGCCTGAGTCCCAGGGGTTGGGATTTGGAGTAGGCCTCAGTAGTCATTAGTTCTGAGGTGCTGCAGATGGTTATTTATGCAGGTCTAATATAGCATCAAAATAAAAGAACAAAGTTTAAACCCACGCTAAGCTTGTTTGAGACTGCTTTGGCAACGGCGCTGGAAGCTCTCAAGCAATATGTAATTTAAAATAAAACTATATTGTGCTATATATGATTTGGCACCGCTTTTTAAAGAATTTATTTTCTCCAGCGAAGCAGCCGTAGAAAAGGTGGTGAAGCATTAATCCTACAAGGATTTCAAATCGCAAAATTGCCTTTTTTTTCCCCTCTAAATCTCAAGATGACATGATGACGCTAAGTATATGAAGTTGCAGCAAATGAACTTTTTAGAGTCGTTAACTTCAGCATCATTGGTTTTTTTTTGAGGGGAGGCTGCATTGCCAAAAAACTGCTGCTCTCTACGTCTGGGGAAACCTCTGTAGGTATTTTTTTTAATACTTCTTGCTGGCCAAACCAAGAAGGGGGGGAGAGTTAAGAGATGAGTTGATGCTTTAGCAGTTAAGGGTTTACATGAAACGTGTTGTTCCTAAGTGTTTACTATTGTTTGGTTTTTCTTACCACATGATCACAAGGCCCAGAAGCCCCTGGGAGCTCCTGGGCGCCTCGTCTCTTGTCGTCTGTTCTCTCTGTCCCTTTGCCTTGGAGCAGTTGGCAGTGGTTGACTTGGACTGCTTGCTGCCTTCTTGACCTTCTGTGGCCGGTCCTTTCAGTGACTCACTGTGCAGTATTCGAGCAGGACTGGTCAACATTTGTTTTAAAAAATGTGCTGTCAAGCAAAGAAAAAATATTTTGACTACTGTATTTAGTTTTGTTTCTTTAAAATGCATTACATTTATACAGGTGCAATTAAAAATAAGTCATATTCTGGGTTTGCAGTGATGTCATTTTTGAAAGATGTTTCCTTTATTGAATATATAATAACATTACTACATGGGACAGCTGATTTATTTCATTCCCGAGTTGTTTTTTGTAAAAAAAAAACTTAGATCAGAAAAGGCATTCTCACAAGCTGGACAAAAAAAAAACAATCATATGTATAAACAATTTAGATGTTTATGCTAACAGACTAAAACAAATTTTGCTTCAACTGCTAAAGTTCTTAACTCTTGTTATAATAGATGTGCAACAGTTGTATATCCTTTGTTTATATGTACGCATTAAAACTCTGCTTTGCTTAAGAAAACAAGTCATAAAAATCCCCTGCAAATCTATCCCTTTGCTGCATGATTTCACTTGTTCTGTGCACTCTGTGTATGCATTCGAGTTCACAGCACCTTGTAGAATTGTATGCATTTCTACATTCACTCTTTGAGTCGTGATCTGGGGGAAAGAGGGTTAAGCTTTGCAAACTACTGAATATTAAATTGAGAATGAGGCGCTTTGCTGCCATCATAAATGAGCAGTCATTGCCCATAATACAGTACAGACTTCCAGCTTCCCACTGCTGCTGCTTCTTTTCTCTTTGCAATAATATATTGGGTATAGAATGTGTAATGATCCTAAACCAGAGCCATATTCTCTAACAGGCGTTTCTGTCAAATAGATTACTGTTACCACACTCATTGATTAGTGTTCTTTAAAAAGTGCTGTTTCTACCTATTAGGTCTGGTCTATAATTGGGTCTGTTTAAATGATTCAGATGAGGTAGTATGTATTTTCTCAAAGCACCATCACTGTCAGCCACTCATTTCATTATAGATTCAGCAGACTTGATAAAACAGCAGGGCATCCCATTTGAAACTCCTTAATCACTGCATCTCCTCTGGAATGGAGCTATAGAGGTGGTCAAGCGATATACACAAATCACGGCAAATGGAACTACTGCTCTCTTTGCAGACTACCTAAATGGATAGAGGTATGCAAAACACCATAAAGTGTAATAAATGCCAAAAAACTTCCTTCTAATTGGATTGAAAAATGGAGGTTGGTCTTCGTTTTTCAGCTTAAAAGGAGCACTGTGAAGTTGTCTAATAGCCAACATAAAAAGGAAACATGCCTGAAAGATTTTTTTTTTTCCTTCAGTCTTTGACATAAATAAATGCTTTCACGCTGGGCTAATTGCATTATCTACTGTCACACACCATGTTTTGTAATAGCATAAAAATGTGTTTATCTGTTTCAAGTTTAGGCATTCTCCAGGTTTGACCTTTTGACTGCAAGGCAAATCCATAGCTATAAGGTTCTCGTCAGATGTTGGGATCACGGGTTATTTTTTAAATTCATTTGTGAGGTTATACCTGAACCTAAGTAAAGTAGTTAGGTTAAACAAAGACTGCTTACTTATGGAGTACTGCATTTGCTTCTCAATATGGTTTTGTTAACATGTTTTTCACATTTCTGTTTGCATTTATTATAGTTAATGAAAAGCAGGTGTATTAAGAAGGCACTCTTTGGTATTAGTATTTAGATTTAATAATGAATGCAAATGGTGACACTGGTGTTCTGGTTAGCACTGCTGCTTGAAAGCTGCATGGTCCTGGTTTCAGTTCTGCATTTTGAGTGTCTGTGTGGAGTTTGCATGCTCTCCTAGGGGGTGTGTGTTTTCTACAAATGCACTGGTTTACTCCTACCTGCCACACAGGGTCTGTTCCAGTGGGTGTGCTGTACTCCCAGAATCCAGTACATGCTTTCTGGACCCATTAGTGTACTAGAAAGTATTATTAGTGTAAATGAAAATATTTAAAACTTGTTTCAAATTTCTATCGTTTACTACTGGTTTGCTCCCATAAAAGACTGATGCCCTTATAATGCTGGATCGGCTGTGTTCGGGGTTCTGGAGTCAGTCCATTACAGTATCTTCACATTTTAGTGTTATTGGAAGCAGAAAGATCTCGTTAATGTGTCCCCAGAAAAGGCATCAGTTATATACAGAGGAAACTAGCTTTGGCACTGTCGTTTGGAAAAAGGAAACTTAAAATGCAATGGCTGTTTATTAGCCAAGTAATTAATGTTATTTTGTTCTAGGTTCTGGATCTCTGGCAGCAATGGCTGTATTTGAGGACCGATATAAACAAGATATGGAGGTAAGAATCTAATTTTTTTTTCCCCTATTTCTTATAAACCACTGTCTTTATTTCCATGGTGTGACCAGCCCTGTATTGTATGGTGAGTTTGAGGGATAAACTCCTTTTAAATGAGTAAAGCTCTTTGTGCTTGGTGTGGCCTTGTAGCAGGGGTATTATTGCTACACCTCTAATGGTGCCAATAATACTGGTAATACACCCAGCAGCCACATCGCCCTGCAGCGAAGCAGGCGTGTGGCTGGTCAGGTCAGAATTCTTGGAGTGGATAATACACAAAAGCACTATGGAAGTGTAAGGAATTTATTCTTCTTCTTATTGTTGCTGTTTGATGCCATTCACTTTAGTTACTTGACTTTTCATTTTCTAGAACGGTTTTCAGTTTTATGAATGTTGAACTTGGGCTACGCTCATGGATGTTCGTAAATACCTTCCACACACATTACACTGCTGTTTTAGGACAGATATCGCACTGACAAAAGAACCTAATGTGTAAAGCGAGGTGGGGACTTTGAAAACTTGATGTTATTATACACTGGCAGAAAAGGAATGGATTATACTGTACAGTAGGTTCTCAGAATTTGGAGTTCTAGTAATTGTTATTGTATGTCACCTTTTGACCCTGAATTGGATAAAGCAGGTAGATAATGGCTGATTTTTTTACATTTGGTTATAGAAAGCTAAACTCTTCTGGAAACGTGGTACAACATTGTAGTGCTGGCAATGTCTTCAAAATATTTAGCTCCAAGATATTTATTATCATCACTTCCAATAACCGCTTATCCAGGAAAATTGAAGATTCTTTGTAGCCCTGAGCCTATTCCAGGAAGCATTGATACACATTGGACAGGCTCTCAGTCCTTCGCAGGCTTTAAGATGTTGATAAATTAATATTCATTTCCTTATCAGTTATAAGATTTTCATAATTATTTGCGGAATTTATTAAGAACAAATTGTCATTTGTATCGCAAGAAATAGGTGTTCTTGCAAAGTGCGTGAAATCTCGGGTCCAGTTTTGTTAATCTGACATACACCATTCCTAAGTTTTATTTTTTGTTGTGCTTTAAAACTTTTGTCCATATTTCCTGAACTTCTATGACATTCTGCTGAATTTAATTAAGATACTTGCATTGGCCCTGACACTTTTAAAGCTTTCTTTTAGATCTTGTCCATTTTAGAAGTATAAAGCCGTTTTAGGAAAACCATTCACTTGATCATATCTAAATATTGATGATCTAAAGCAGGGGTGGGGAACGTCCGGCCCGCGGGCCGTATAAGGCCCGCAAAATCATTTGGTCCGGCCCTGCCAAGGCAACTGCAGGTGTAGAGATGGGCGATAATTCGATAACGATAATTATCGCGATATAATTTTCCTCTATATAATTTTAACAAAAGTTCGATATATATGTTTAATGTTTCTGCTGTTTGGCAAGTGTTGTGTTCTTAAAATAAAGAGTTGTTTAATTTACCAATTAACTGTCTGGTTTCTTCAACTTTCACTCAGGAGAAAAAAATCTGCCTTTAAACTTGAAAGAAATAATGATTTGACATTTATCGGGATAATTATCGATATCGACTAATATGAAAATTTTTAATGTGATATCGTGATAACATGACGGGACAGACACGCATGCTTCTCGCTGGCTGCCCGTGGCCCGTCTGCCTGTATTGCGATAACTCAGAGGACAGTCAGTGCCAGGCAGGCTGGGAGTGTACACGTTGTGAAAGTATTAACACACTGTGTTTTACGAACTGCGGGATGAAGTCAAGCAGTTCATGGAGATGAAGGGAAAACCTGTCAGGGAACTCAGTGATAGCAAGTGGCTGTTTGATCGACTGCGCTCCAGACTGACCGACGCAAACCTGGAAAAGCAGTTGCAAGTAGCAACATCATCAATGCCAGCTAACATCACACGCCTCACCAAAGAGAGGCAGTTCCAGCCATCACATTAGGGGCGTGTTAATTAAACGTTTGACCAAATATAGCAGGCTAATTTTAAATTGATACTATTGCATGGCCCGCGAATGATGTTATAAATATCCAAATGGCCCTTGGCAGAAAAAAGGTTCCCCACCCCTGATCTAAAGGAACCAATAGACCACTGGTCTCAACTGGTTTTGTGTTTGTGCTGGTGAGGACTGAGAATCCACTTTCACAATGAGAAGCAGTAAA